ATTGTCAATCATTTCTAAGATGGTTATTGATTTTTTTTCCCCTGAGGGTTGTTTGCAAAGGCATCTGTAGGAGAACCAGAAAAGTTAGAAATGGTGGTCACAAGTTCATGACAACAGAATCCTGTTCATGAGAAAGAGATTTAATTTGATGGGCATAGCCACCATATTGAATGTCTTTATTCTAGAAAAACCCTGCTTGTTTATCTACATTGATTTGTCCATAAATCAAATTATCTATTTCAAGGTTTAAAAGAAGAAAAGAACTAATCCTATTGCATAATACTAAACTGTTTGGAAGTCCTGGATATTCAAACATGACTTTAATTATACCAAACAAGCTTTGCTAACTCAGTGGTATAAAACAGATTCTGCACAGGGCAGACTCAGGTCAGGTAACATGGCTGGAAAAGTATGTTGGCCCGCTGGCCTCTTATGCAGATTAATTTGAGGCCATGCTTGAGTGAAGATACTTGGTCCATATTATGAAAAATAGTCCAATTCTTCTGTAGTGTGAGTGAGGAAGATTTTTTAAAAAGTGCTTTTATTTATTTTTATTAGGAAGTTTAATATGGAACATTGAGAGCAAAATAATTTAGACATCACATCTTATTAGAGTCATCCAAGGCATTTGCTTATTGGTATGTGATAAAGATATGTGTGCATTAGGCTGGATATTTCAGGAGAGCAATGTTGATCTACAATGGTAAAAAATCAGGAATCCAGAAGGTCTTTTCAAACTAGCAAATTTGATTAAAAGGCTTCTGATATTGCAGATTTCCAAAGTTATATCTTTTAATGAAATTTTAGACAGAAAAGGCATTTCTGTACCCAACCAATGACCTTTTCCCCCAAGAGAGTAATGTTTCTCCTCCTAAAGTGACTATTCCTGGTTGTGACTCAGTGTGATTCTAAACGCACTTCACAAATTAAAGGTTTATGAAATCATTCTAATGTAATCTTCTTGAATTTTGCCAAATAATGGTACTTCTATAAAACTATGATTCTTTCCAGTTGACTTTGGGGCATAAGCCCGTCATTTGAAGGCTTTCTAGGATGTTCAAAATGGATGTGCTGTAAGAAAAATTAATTCAGAATTTGTCTATTCCTCCTTTCTTTTTTAAAGGCAAATAATTTATTTACAACATATTTCACATACCTATCTTGCTCCAATTACTTGTTAGCTACTAATATAAATGATTTCCATAATTATTTCCATTTCTCCAGGAGTATATTCTGTTAGATTCAGTACTTTTTAATATGCATACATAGGGCTTGATAACAGCAGAAACAAAAGCTGTTTCTAGAATGTTTTGCTAGAAAGAAAATTATAAATTACAGAAATCAATTTAAGATTTTGAATTTTGTAATATATAAAATACTGCAAAATATGTAGGGTATATGTCGATAAATAGTCAAATTTTGATGTTAAATATTCATAAAAATAGAATTATTTTAAATATCAAGATCGTGTGTGATAATTGTAGCCTCTCTAAAATTCTGCATTCTTACACATACAGTGTGACTGTGCAGCTATCACTTCATGCTTCTTTCCAATGATTTTGACGTGCTTCTCTGTTTTAAGGATCTTAAGAATCATTTAAACTTATTAGCTTATCCAATGTCTGATCATCTGTCTTAGAGATCCAAATGGTATACTGTGGTGGTTAAGTTGCTGGTTAAAAACCAAGAGTCCATGAATTTTAGTCCAGAGTCAATCACTCTCTCTCAGTCCAACCCACATCACATAGTTTTTGTTATTGAGAAAGTAAAAGGTGAAAATATTACGTATGCTTGCATATTGCCTTGAATTGACCAAAAATAAAGGTAAAATAAAAATTAATAAATAAATAATGGGAGCAGAATAAATTATTAATGTAAAATAAAAGGTAAAATAAAAATTAATAAATAAATAATGGGATCAGAATAAATTATTAATGGAATAAAGCAGAATAAATCGTCAATGAAAAATATGTTTGAAATAGACTGTTTTCCAATCAACATGAAATAACTTCTACTAACTTTTATGGACTCAGTTACAGTTGAATTGCTTTTTAAAAATTCTAGTTTGTGCATTTCAAAGCTTCTTTAAAATTCTTAAACCTTTGAGGTCAAATCCAAGGGGTAGCACTAAGAATAGTAAAACCTTTAATGAACGTTACAGATGGCTGCAGTTTACTAGCCTTCCTACTCCCTTTAGGGTCTGTATGTAAAATAGCTAATGATGATGCTGGCTAGCCAAAGGGGAATATTACTGACACTGTATTTTATTCAGGGTTTGCTTCATTTTGGATACTGGGAATGATCTTTTTGAATCTCAGTAACTAAGTCATACTTATAGTACATTAAACAAAATTCAACGTTTTGTTATTTGTACATTTTCAGCAGCCTTAGGCACTACTCAGAACTGAAGACGAAAAAGGAAGTCAAACAAGCCAAGTTTCTGCTTGTTTTCTTTCTTGAAAGCTTCTTAATAAGAATCATTTCTAACCAGAACATGGGGGGAAGACCAAGAGTGCACAATCACTATCCAGTGTTTATTTTTCTGTGTATCACTCAAGATGATAACGTATACTGTTTACAATTTTTCTGCAGTTCTACTTTACCAAGGGTATTTGTTAGAATAATTTGGGAACCTCTCAGATTATTCCAAGAGCTCTTTTGAACATTGTCTCAAATCATTTATGTGGAGTAGAAATAGCCTCATATTTCATGTGAGTGTTTCAAAAATCCTATGTATTTAAAAGCATGACTTGAGAGGACAGCAATCTTTTCATTTCACAAAGAAGAAAATCCATTCCACAAACAGAAAATCCATGATCGACTGGCAGATGATTGAACAAGATTTTACCATTTTCAATTTGAGGTAAGTGCTGAGATAAGTGTTGTCAATGGTACTATTAATGTAAACATAGCTTCTAAACTATATACTAGTTAGTACCTGTGTGAAAGCAGAGAAAACCATCTAGGCCAGGGCCAGATGTGTCATGCGCTGGCCACGCCCACACCCAGTTTAGCAAGGGGGGAAGTCCCGATACATCACGACACTGCCGTGGTGATGTGTGTTTGACACTTCTGATCTAGGCAATCAGTAACCTGATCCACGTATCATTGCCTGGCCCATTTCAGCTTTCCTTAACTTGGTACCCTCCAGATGCATTGGACTACAGCTCCCATTTCCCCAGCCAGAATGTGGATAATAAAGGTTGAAGGCTAACACACCATAAAGGCACTAAATTAGGTAAAGCTGATCAACACTCTCCTGATGATAACTCTCTACAATCACAGACAGGTTCCTTTTCTAGACTTGCCATTAAAAATGTAGTTCTAAACATGAGAGCTTTTGCACGTTATACTCTCAGTCACAGAATTAGAGTTCTTTCTTGGTGAATAAAATGTCAGCAATGGTCTGAAAGATACCAGCAATATCCATTAAAATAGAGAAATAAGAAAAGATCTAAGCTAGGGTTATAAATATAATTTTGCTAATCTAAGGAAATACATAGAGCCTTCACAAAGACCTTTTGTGGTGTCCTCAATGCCAGTGTTAAGAGTATTTAGCAGCATTAGTTATCTGGCAACCAAAATGCAAAGAGATTTATAAAGTAGAGATGAAAGGTCTAAAATGGACCTCCAAGGCTACTCTTGGATACCCATATTTAGGATTGAATTGCCAAGTGAGGAGCAAGATATATTTCAACAGCATTTAGGATTATTTTCAAGGATCTCATGATATTGATAGCAACATTGTTAATCCATCACACTTGTTTTTTTTAGTTTCTCATTTTGTGTAAATTGTTGTTGCACATCAGAAGTGTAGAACAAGGGAATGTTCAAAACCCCAATTAATTCACAGGTATCATGTGATGCAAAATATGAACCTCAAAATATATTCAATTTATATTCTGCTTTTCTTCCAGGAGCTCAAAACCATTTACATGGGGATCTCCTTCATTTTATTCCCACAGGCATTTTTCTGTGAGAGAAACTGTGCTGAGAAGAAGTGACTGGCCCAAAGTCACTTACAGAGCTTTCACAGCTGAAAATGGCCATGAAGCTAAGTCTCTCTGGAACTAATTCAACACCTTAAGCACAAAACCTTTCCCAGATTCTTTCTTCTCACAAAGTAATGACTCTGCTGGACTAGCTCCTTAAAGAACAATAGTGAAACAAACAAATAGAAGTATACCTTTAATTCCATTTAAATGTGCATCTTAAATTCAGTACAAATATAGGTAGTAGTCCCATAGTTCCTAAGGCAGTCAACATCTCTTTCGACACAAGACCATTCAACAGGAAACAGTGTATGCATAAAACAAAACACCAATCTCTTAGCTTGTAAAACAGTAACCTTTAAGAGATGCTGCTCCCTTTGTACCATCTGGGGTAGCAATGTTCCCTTTTTGCACAATGATACTACTTTGGGAGTAAATATTGGCACTGTAAAATGTAAATGATTTTTATTGTAGTATAGGGTTCAACTCTCTTCATAGACCAATAAAAATAAACTCTGTAATAAATAAATATTTAAAATAAATATATGCACTCTGAAAATATATAAATTAGGTCCATCCTGAAGGGAAAAATAAATCCAGATTTTGCTGCCCAATTACCACAGTCTTCATAAAGCTCCATATTAACCATCCATGTGGTTATCAATGATGTTAACTAGCCATTTTTTCCTAGTTATCTACAGCCAATTCCCATTCACTTTAGGTAATTATTTATGCTCCAAGTACAGGATCCAGAGCAGTTTTGTTAAGTCCAGTTCAAACATCTTCTTGACTACTGGTAACACAGAATGAGTGAACCTAAAAGAGGCTGGTCATCTAGACTTTAATATCCATTCTCCTAAATCCAGAGATTAGGCATGAAGGCTTGTCTACCACTAAACAGCTTCACTGATGCCTGCTTCCTAGATCTCAATAATTTTCAACATTTAGAAGTTTCTCTTGCTTTTGGGACTGTGGAGGCCAAGATGCTGTTTTTCCCTGTGGTTGACTTCAACTGATTGCTAACAGGTCCTTGTAGAGCTCAGGCACTCTTTCGGGATCCACTGGTCTAGGCAAGAAATGGGTGAATTTCTGATGTCTTTTGGACCTTGCCCCATCTCTGGGACTGCCATCTTTGTTAAGTGCCACAAAGTACCTCCGGCCTGAATCTCCATGTTTGTACACATTGGAGGAGTAGGTATTATACCAGTTCTCTTCAAACTGTTCTTTGAAGACACATTCAGGAGTGAGCTTTTCCTACAGGGTAAAAAAAAGAGAAGTCTCTTCAACCAAAATATACAGACATGGTGATAAGAGCGGATGGAGCTAATCCTATGTTATTACCTCAAGAACTGTGTTCCTTTGTGGTGTGATATTTTTCACAGTTTTATTTAAAATTTTATTTTAAATTTAAATTCTATTTACAAATAAAGATATTGTTTTAATAAATTATTTTATTCTGCGGAGGATTTTTTTTATTGGTAAGGAATACAGCCTGTCTTAAAGCTCTGGCTGCCTGTACAACAACTCCTACATTTCTCCATTTGTTTTACTGCATAATATCTTCTCTTTCTGCTTCCTTTTTCATTCCCACAAGCAAAAATCTATGAACCTAGGTCACAACTTGCTTTATAAGCTGATGCTTACACCGAAATATTAGCAGACATACAAATATGGACACCTTTTAGTCTTTTGAACTAGTAATGCTCATGTTCCCTTTTCCCCCTATCATCACTAATTATTTGGACCCTTAAAATCTACAACATTTTAATATGCACATAATACTTCCCAAAACAAGCTTTGTTTCAGGTTATTTGATGCACTAGAACAGGGGTGTTAAACTCAAGGCCCAGGTGCCAGATCCGGCCTGCAGGATGTTTAGATCTGACCACCCTGGAAATACCAAAGGACTGGCCCACAGTACCTTTGCCAGCAAAAATGGATTGCACATGGCCCACATTAGCTCTGTTTTCACTGGCAGAGGGTTGCAGGAGGCTGTTCCAGCCAAAAACAGAGCTTGCAAGGGCCAGGTGTGGCCCCCTCCAAGCTCCATTTTTGCTGGGAAAGGGTTGCAAGAGGCCATCACAGCTGAAAATGGAACTCAGGAGCCCGTTTTCATTGGCAGAGCACTTGGGCCCCTGACGCAAGTGACATCATGCTGGCCATGCCCACCCTGGCCACACATACCCACACCCCCAAGATCAAACACAACCCTGATGCGGCCCTCAATGAAATTGAGTTTGACACCCCTGCACTAGAGCAAACTGCACATTTTATTCTTCTCCTTTTGTTTTGTTTTACAACTGCATCTCAAACCTGCCTTTTCTGTGAGAAGGAAGCTTACTTGGGAAACTCTTTTAATTTTATTTCCACAACAATGATCCTGTGAAGGAAGATGGGCCCAAAGTTATTCAACGAGGCCTTCAATTTGGGTCTCCCCTTTCCAAATTCACATCTAAGTCACTAATTACATCTGTTATCCTAGGGTTATACTAGCCTCTCTTTGCTAAGGAATTTCTACCTCCCTTCTGGGAAATCTCTGAGTATTACAGCAACTTGTAGCAGGAATATCGACTTCAAAAAAATCAAGATGGCAGCTCCTTGGTGTGACTGAAGCTTCACCTATATTTTTAGGCATCTCCACCTCAAAAACAGGCAGAATTTCATTCACACCATCATGGCCCCCATTCTGACTTTTTTTTTTTTTAACATATCCTGCACACTCCTGGCTTCTCACATTACTTTGAATTGACAGGGCACGCTACCTCAGTTAGATAGAACCATGTTGTCTCCTCTTGTATAGAATAATACGCACATCCCATATTGGATATAATGCTGCAGGAATTAAAGCAATAATTAGCAGAATTTGTCTGCCATTTTAGGAAGCGGAATAATTCAGGGGAGAACATGCTTTTCCTGCAGATGTTGTTGAGTGGCAAATGCATTCCTTTATTAAAAGGTAATGTGGGCAATGATTTTGCCTCTGAATGCCACAGTTGTGCTGATTTTCAGCTGTCTTCAGGTAATCCTCAACTTATGACCACAATGAGCTCCAAAATTCTGTTACTAAGTGAGGCAACTGTTAAGTGAAGCAGGGCAGTTGATTACTACATGATTAACATCAATGCATGTTAAGTTAGTAATATGGTTGTTAAGAAAATCTGACTTCCTCATTGACTTTGCTTGTCAGAAGGTTGCAAAAGATGATCATATAATCCCAGGACACTGCAACTGTCATAACTATGAGTCAGTTACCAAGTCTCTGAATTTTGATCACATGACCATGAGAATACTGCAATGGTCATAAGTGTGAAAAACTGTCATAAGTAATTTTTAGTGCCATTGTAACTTCGAATGGTCACTGAACATATGGTTGTAAATTGAGCACTGCCTTATATTGGTATTGTCTTTTCATGTCAAATATTCTCTATAAGATAATAGGATTTTTGTAAATGCTGTTTCTTCTTTGCACCACTACCTGGAATGATCAAGTGATTAAAGGCCAGTGTTTGGCCATTTTGGCATTCGAGGAAGTACTGCAAAGAAAGAACTATAAAAGAACTATAAAAACAACCCAAAGTTTTGTTTATGAAAAGAAAGAAAAAGCTAATATTCATTTTGTATGTCTTTAAATGTTCCTACATGGTTTCCCCATTGACTTTGCTTATCTGAACTTTGATCACATCACCATAGTCATAAGTCACTTTTTTCAGTACCATTGTAACTTTGAACAGTCACTAAACAAACTGTCATAAGTCGAGAGCTACTTATATTTGCTTTTGTTTCCCATTTCAGACTAGTTGAAAATTGCACCTAATTTTGACAACCAGGTTTTGGAAAACTCTCATAAACACGTAAAGATGCAAACAGAAAACTATTTTTCCTGGAACTGAGTTAAATAATCAGGTACAAAAGTATAGAAACCTCTACCCCCCCCCCCCAATCCTTCTGTACCCAGACAGTTTAAAATGGGAGGATGGTTTTGAGCTAAATGGACCCAACTCTAAATGGTATAACTCTATAAGGCAGCTTCCTATTGTCTTTGCATTGATGAAACTCAGGTAAATTTCAAGTGATTCACATAACATCTTAAGTTAACATGACCCTGTAGTGGTGCAATTTATTCCAGATAGTTCTCACTTTGTATTAATCCACTGAGTACCTTTTTTCTTACACTAAATGGCCACTTCAAGGCTGCGATCCCTCTTGTATTGTTACCAGTGACAAAATTCCCAGAGATTATAGAGCTTACTGCTAATGTGAGTCTGTAACATGAGCTGGATGATATGGCAATAATACTTACAGAGCCATAAAGCTCTCCTTTCTCATTCATTCCAAGGTAAAGGCCACTGTCCACTCCTCGAATACTGACTAATCCCACGGCCACACTGATGAATTCAAGAATACCTGCATCGAGAAAAGGGGAAAAATATGTTTAAGGCTAATTATGTTCGGTGCAGAAAAGCCTTTTGTTTTAAATAGAAATAGATGCTCAATTAAATATGTGATTAATTCTAAGTTGATTGATTCTACAGTATACAGAATGGGGTTATCGAAGTACTCTTCAAAGTACTATAATACTGTGATATATATTGGTGTTGACATCTTGTTAACATCTTATTGTTTTCAGTGAAAGTGTTGAGTTGTCCTTAAATCTCTCCAGCTGCAATACACAGGAGTTACAATGCAACGTTATTGGTTGTGCCATTCTGTGTTAAATAATAACAGTGTTCAAATATTTGGATTGTTATAAAGAAAAGCGTTTGATAGCTGATTATATATATATATATATATATATATATATATATATATATATATACACACACATATATATACACACATATATACACTCAGAAAACAAATACACACATATATATATATACATGTATACATATTTTCCTTTGAAATAATGCCATGTGCTTTAGCTAGGGTTTTGAACGCTTATGTTTTTCAACAATGTTCTATTTTCTGAATTATTTTCTCTCTAAGGTAAGCTAATTATTTTTTCTTATAATCAGCCTTTGGAGTTTAATTGAAAAAATGTTTGAGACGGAGTGTCTTGCTGCTGTTTCAAGGCAGCCAAATCTTTTGCAAAGATCAGATATTTAGTATTTTATAAAGATTGCATACTGCATCTTTTCACTGCCAAGAAATCATCAGAGATTTTGGAGTTCCCGATATTCAAAGTTCCATTGAAAGATATGGGAGGTATTCTGTCTTTCTGATATCATTTTCAAAGACAAGTTTTTCCTCCCCAAATCATAATAAGCAGGTGATTTAACCAACAAAGAAACCACATCAGTCAAAACTACTGAGAATACTGATAGAATAAAGAAGCCCCAAGAATGTTTGATCTCAATCTCAAACATTTTTCTTTTTTCTTTTGCAATTACTACATGTTTACATGCTCTAAGAAGGTTCCCTTCTGCGCATAATTTTTGGTTGAACTTGAGTTGAAACAAAACTCCTGTCTATCAGTTAAGATCTCTTAGAGCAGATTGTTAGAAGTAGAGAGAATTATCAACTGCACTTAATACTAGTAATAATATATTTTGTAAATATTTATGGACCAACCACTAAGGAGTAGTAGGTTTCTTTAGAGAAGACTTTCTCTTCATTACTCATTTGTTTGTCCTCCCTTACGCATCTAGCAACCTCTTTCAGTCAGTATTTAAATCCCTTGTAGTTCATAAATAAAATCCTGAGTAAACTAGTCCAATATATTGCAGAGATTTAGTTAGATCTTGGACACTATGGTATCAGAGAGGTACTTGCAGCATATACAATCTTGCACCTGCTTTACATTGGACTCACTGAGTCATATACTCTATCTTTGGACATGTGATGTTTTCTGTCTTCTATGCAGACTGTGCTAAATTCAGTTGCATGTTCTGGTGGAATCCTGCATGCATTTCCTTATGCACAATTCCCACTGGAATACCAAAGGACTAATACCCATGCAGAGAGACAGAAGTGCATTGTAAACAACTATATATAGCAAAACATGCAATTAATTTTTTTTTAAAAAAGTACTGTAAAAGTTAGAAAGACTGAACCCAGCACACAAGTATATCAGCTCTCAGTCAGAGCAATGCATCTGAGTTTATATGGATTACAATTATACCTGTAATAGTTCTGCATGTATATAGACTCATAGGTTGCTTTTAGCACACATGACTTATACACCTTAGAGCCTGATTTTGAAAATGAAAAGTCCTGATATTAGTATCCTTTGATTAGAAACCATTGTTTACATCAAATAATGTCATATTTCCCACATGGGAAACTCTTCCTTATGACGAATAAAATGCTATCTCTGTACATTGATGCATTAAGTGTCTTAGGAGCTGATTACATGGATGCTATGCTTGTCAGTTACGGTTGTCAAGCGACACAGGAAATAGTTTAGGCACTTGCTGCGTGGGACAGCCTGTATATAATTCCAAGCATCATTACCTACATGGAAGGATTTCCCACAGTCCTGTAAGGCATTGTGTGTTAAGTAGTCCATAGGGATGTTGAAAAGGCGCTCTGTTCATGCTCAAAGACACATATCCAGGGCCTTTTCCACCAGTTTGTTGATTGTATTATTTGAAATAGGGCATTGCAAACAGGTTGGCACTTTCTTTTTCTAAGCTGATCTCTCTACCTCCTGCCTGTTTGGTGTATGGGAGAAGCTGCTGTCCCCAACATTCCGCTTAGCTCTTAGCCCTCTGCAACAATGTTAACCCAGATCAAGATGCTGCTCCTGCAAGCAGGTGTGTTTTTAATCATCCACTGCCTGAGATCCGTTGCTATACCATCTGTTGCTATAGGATGCTTCCGTCACAAGGGAAGAAGCTGCAGAAGAGAGCAGGTGGAAGGAAGAAGGAAGGGAGGAAGGAAGGAAGAGAGGAAGGGAGGAGGGAGGGAGGAAAGAGGGGGGCCTTACCGAAGAGGCTGTGGTCCTGCCTAGTGCCTTGAACGCTGCCGTCGGGCAGGATCTGCAGGTGGAAGCCAGTCCTGCAATACAGCTGTCTTCGGCGTAGGATGCCCTGCAGGTGGGCTATATCCGTGGCCCCAGCCGCGACGCCCGCTCGGGATCCCCCCTCCGCTTGGGTCAGGCGGTCCCCTAGCAGGGGCGGCCTCTCCCCGGCAGGAGGCAGAAGGAAATGGGAGCCCACCTGCTGGCTCATCCCCTCCAGGCCACTTAAGAAACCCCCCACTTCGGCTAAGGGGGCCATGGAGAAGCCCAACCGGAGGGCTGCCGAGACTGGAGAGGGAGAGGGCAGGAGAGGAGCAGCGAGAGCGAGAGGGCGTCCCTTGCAGAGTCCGATCTCGGGGCTCAGAGCCGGCGAGGGAAGGGGTCTGGCAGGCAAGGCGGACTTGGCGTCAAGAGAGCAACTGCCTGTCCCGAGAATCTGTCCTCTCCCCGGACATGGGGCTGGTGGGGAGGCTGGGCTGGGCTTGGCCTCAACATCGACAGCCGCTGCAGGTGGGACGGCCGGCGATGCCCAATTTGCCGCTGCTGCCCCGCTGGTAGCGCCACCGGCTCGGGCTGTCTTTGGGGAAACCGCCGCGATCCAAGCGAGGCCGCTCGAAAGTGCCACAACAGCGCGCGTGGGGGAAATCTCTCGCTATATATACGCGCGGGGCAGGTTTTCCCCCCTGACCTATGCTAATAGCACTGAAGCTGAAGCGCGCCGGGAAACTGAGGCGTTTGAAATCTTAAACCGAGCTGCTTTTCCCCTCCTCACACCTTTTCCCTCCTGACGAAGGGGACTTCCGAAGGTGCCCCGGCCTCCCTCCCTCTTTCCCTCCTCCTCCTCTCGCGCGCGCCTCATCGGCTTCCAATTTAGCCTTGGAAACACGCCTCTCCCTCCCTCTCCCCACCACCCAACCCGGGTTGTTGTCGACGATGCGAAAAGGGATGCCGTCGCTCGTTCCTCTCCGCCAGGTTCCCTTTTGATGTTGAAGCTTCTCGCCGCGGATGAATCGCGAGCAGCAGCAGGAGCCCCGTTTGGCAAAGGTGGGGGGGGGGGAGGACCCTGGAAGCTTGCCGCGTATTACGTGGACAGGTGCAGGGAAAGGTAAGAAGGAGAAAGGGCGTTACCGGAGGGTTAGGCCTGCTGAGACACACATGAAAAGAGGGAATGGGGGTGGGGGTTGAGGGAGAGAGGGGGAAGAAAGCAAAAAGATCTAACAGGTCGGCTGCTCGGTTTTTCAGAACACTCATAAAAGTGTTACATGTATTATCCTTGCCTTTTATCTTATTCGTTTTCTTCCCCTCCAAAAAGAAGGGGGGCGGGATTTTTTTCTTTTTCCCAAGCGAATTGGCATAGTCAGTCGGGGTTTCCCCTTCGCTTAAGGATAGGTTTCTCTTTGCTTGGTCTAACAGAGGCCCAATAATAGCCTCTGGGCATTGTTTGGGTGTTTAAACAGTATTAGACCTGAGCAATGCAAAGAGACCAGAAGAGAAACTGAAGAATGCTTCGAAAGCTTTCAAGACTTTGAAAGGGGCTGCAGGAAAAAATCGGAAAAGATATTGGGGTGGGGGGACCACTGTGAGTTGTGGCTAACCATAAATGTCTTCATTTTCATCAGGGACAAATAATATTCCTTTGTCTATTTTGGCATCTGGGTCTCTGCTGGGAAGCTGGTTGATAGTGGAAACATTTCTGCCCTTTTCTGCAATGTATGTGGAAGCTGGCAAAAAAAAAAAAACAGTCACTAAGATTTCAGGTAGCTCCTGGACCAAATATGAATGTAGGCATCGATCTTAGTAAGGACCTAGCATTAACGAGCTGTAATATGTTAATGGATCAGATTTGACCTCTTGCTTCAGATGAAGGAGAAGAGTACAGAAACCTGATCCTACTTGAGGCTTCAATCCGGCTGAGTGACCTTGATTCTTTCTCAGCCTAGGAAGACTAGAAAGCTATGTGACCACATAGTTACCAAGAGTCAAGACTGAGTCAGACAAAAAAAAAAAAAAACTTAAATTTTCACCATTATCTTATTATTATTGGGAGCGGGGAGGAGCCTTGACTAAACCTAACCTTGCTGAACTCATATCCTAATTTTCTAGAAAAGGTATGAGGCGGGCATTCAGCCCATGTTGAAGAGCAGGATAAGCATCTACAACAGCATGATCACGTATGATCTGAAATAGTGCAAGCTGGTTTCCTCTTCCTTCAGCTGAACATGCACATTTCTCTTACCATGCAACATAATTGGTGTGCGATTTTCTTTACTCTGCATCCACGTGAAGAGGAGAGGCAGAAGCTGGTGGTTGTTTATTTGTTTTTGCATTTATCCCTCGGGACTCAGGGCTGAATGCATACATGCTACTTAAAGGGGAATTCTGAGCTTGTTTATTTAGAGGTAAGTCTCAGTAAGCTCAAGAGCTGATTATTAAGACTCCAGCCCATTGCATTTCATGGCAAAAAGATAATGATAAAGTCTTCTTCAAATTCAACTTGACTCTTGCTGTCTTCATGCACAAAAACAGGAAGCTTTCTTGGTTAAAAGCACAGAAGTGGTCTGTCTGTCTTTGCCTCCTTTTGAATTGTGTTTTTTACTTCCCAGTCTAGCCTCATATGCACATCTGCCTAGAAATTCAGTTCAGTGAGATTAACTTCAAGGTAAGTAGTATCGGACTGCAGTCTAAGTTTCACTTTTGGTGTGATGTGTTAAATATAAACAAACCAATGAAGTATCTTCTAATATACGTTCATCAGAACTTTAAACTGCTAGTTTTTCTTTGAAAATGTGGATTTGCCATCTCATTTCAACTATCTTTAATTCTTGAGCAGTAGTATTCCATCTGGGATATATATTTAGACTAAGATCTATTTTCCCCCATAAAGTACTAGAAATATGGCAAACATTGGGAGAAAATAGTTTGTGCTTCTAAAATATGCTTTCCTCTCTTATATGAAGATCTCTACTGAATTTTGGGAGGCGATATAAAACGTGCACTTCTCAGTTAGTTTGCACCTATATTGTGTGCATTCTGGATTTTAAAGATATTCTCTGTAACCATTAGCTGGATATTATGTCATGAAAGAGCTCTAATGGAGAGAGAAAGAAAGAAGAATCAAGCACTGGAGGAGGAAAGACATTCTGAATATTTTTTTAAAGATCATGTTTTAACATGCATGTTTAAGTAACTCAAACAGCAGTTTGATGGAAGTGATTATGATTTATCAAGTGGGGCTGAAATAAGTGTCAGTCTTTGTTCCACAATTGGCAAAATTCCTGGCAAAAGTTACTCCAGTGAAATTTCTTTTTGCACTGGGAAGAACGCTGTATTGGTCTCTTTTAAGGAAGCATAGGCAGTGGCGATGGTTATGAAACAAGAAATTTTTTGTTAGATTGGGCTATATTCAGCACTCAGCATCACAGAGTGGCCAACTTGATTACTTTGTGAAGCTCACAAGCTTGAACTGTGCTGTTAATAGCCCTCTTTCATTGCTACTTCCAGGAGCTAAAATATTTTGCTTATGATTGGAAAATATCAAAGAATTCTGCTTTTGATTGGTGTGCAACAACTGCAGCTATCATGTTGACCTAGCTTTCTCTTCCAAAATACTTTCCATCTCTGTCTCTCTGTGTCTGTCTCTCTGAGTTCCAAATTGATATCTTGCTGGGACCTCTATGGTATCAATCACATAGTTGGACGCTTGCATCTTATAACTTTCTTCTTTGTAACCCTTTTCCTTTTCTGTGCCTCCAAAGCCTTTAAATGTGTTTTATTTATTCAAGAACCCCATGTCTACATCAGTGGAATACAAAATAATAGAGGGGATATAGATAAATATACAGTAGATATAGATATACGTTTAATATTGAAAAGTAGTTGTTTTCAAAAATATAAAAACTGATTATGAATACATCTACTTAGAAACAAGTTCTACTGAGATAACTAGATTTACTTCCAAGCAACTGTATTTTGAATTGCTGCCTTTGGCAACATTTTGGCATAAACTGAAAGCCATTGTTTGGTCATATCTTTTATATGTTAGTTGAATTTTTTCCCTGTGCTGATAATGCTGCTTATTATTCTTTTATTATTTGTTTAACTGATAATTGTTTTAACTCAAATATCAATGCACTTTGAAGATATTGTAAGTTGAAGAGCAATGTACAGGTAGTCCTCGACTTACAACAATTCATTTAATGACCAAAGTTACAATGGTACTGAAAAAAGTGTCTTATGACCATTATTCACACTTAACCCTTGCAGGTTCCCCATGGTCATGTGATCAACATTCAGATGCTTGTCAACTGATTCATATTTATGATGGTTGCAGTGTCCTGGGATCATGTGATCAACTTTTGTGACCTTCTGACAAGCAAAGTCAATGGGGAAGCCAGATTCACTTAACAATTGGGTTTCTAACTTAACAACTGCAGTCATTCACTTAACAACTCTGGCAAGAAAAGTCAAAAAATGGGGCAAAACTCACTTAACAAATATTTCACTTGGCAACATACATTTTGGGCTCAATTGTGGTCATAAGTCGAGGACTACCAGTATCAAATTACAGAAATGAGGAATCTTGGTTGTGATAGCAGTAGAACTTGAAAGCACTGTCCACTAAAAAGATGAAATTGATAAGGTTTCTAGCCTTACATATAAGCAAATGGAATTGATGGTGTAGGACAGGGGTGTCAAACTTGCACCATCACGGCAGTGTCATGTGACGTATCAGGACTTTTTCCCCCTTTGCTAAACCTGGTGTGGGCATGGCCAGCGCACGATGTTCCAGCCCATGGGCTGGGAGTTTGACATCCCGGGTGTAGGACGAAGAGTCTACTTAATAAAGAGAGGTTAGATTGCACACCATATTATGAGGCTGTATACAAGTTTATTTAGAAGATAACTATCAATTATTTTTAAGGTAGGAAGATAGGGGAATTGCTATTACTGGTTCATTTAAAAAAATACAGAAAACAATGATTTTGTCTATTGAGATTTAATTTAATCCAGTTAGTCTTGAGTTCATTGAACCATATTGACTAACACATTGCTTGACTGCATGAATGCAACACTCCAACTATATTAATATGCTGCTGTGTATTCTCTCCACAATCATGAATAGTATATTATCTAAATAAATATTCTCCCTGAAAATGATTCAGAAAGGAAAGAATTACTCAATGGGTTTAACTTTTTGTTTAAATTTCTAACTGAAAAAAAAGTTATAGAGCAATAAACTAGTACAAAGTGGTGTTTTTC